CACCTTCCTGTGCATCTGCCCAGGTACGTGACCGGCTGGTTTGGCCCCTACCATCGCAGGCGGAAGCTCATCCACCCCGTCATGGTCCAGCATATCCAGCCCGAGGCTCTCAGGTAGCCCCCAGGCAGTCTGACTACCACCATGACACCCCCATCAACCCACTAGGCTTTGAGCTAAGACAAGCTTTGTAGGAGTGGCCCACAGGTTCTTAGATAATTCCCTCCCTCACTGAATAAGACCATTGTTTGCTAATGCTTCCCTTTAAGGCGCAGTTAACCTGTGGGTCGCGACCCCTTTTTAACAATGAAAATACATTACAGCCTTAGGAAGGTTGAGAACCATTGCTAAGGCAAGTGATGTCTGGACAGGTGCAGGGCTCAGCTCTGGACTCACAGCACCAGGGCTGAGCACTGTGTCCTCCCCCACCTCCTGGGTGGGGCTGTGAGCTGAGACTGGCATACCACCCTACCCCACCCCAGCACAAGATGCTATTTCTTATGGGTAAACAGGCGTGGGGTGCTGGTCCACAGGGTTGAGTAAATGTAGAATGCATGCACCAAAAGGTGGTGTGGTCCCAGAGCCCCCGAGGCATGCTCACAGGCATACCCCCTCAGCCTCCTGGCCCGGTGGAGCCCCCTTGTGCGGGAACTGGAGGCTGCCCTTCACCAGGCCTTCTACCCAGACGCAGTTGAGGAGTGGCTGGAGGAGAACGTGCTCCCGAGTGTGCAGCGGCTGCAGGTGCTGCTGCAGGACCTCAGCGAGGCAGCTGCCAACACTAACCCGCCTGCTGGCCCCAGCTGGGACACCTGTCAGGATCCCTGAGGGGAGTGATATGTGCGTGGGCATCTGTGCAGGGTCCAGCAGCTCCTATGGTGCAGTAATCATTGGGAAAGAGAAAATACTGAAGGGAAAAGCATGTGGGACCTGTTCTATGATCTGCATGTAGAACTTTATTCTTTAGAATAAACAGCAGTGTGGAGGCCAGAGGTTGCTCTAATGGGAGTGAGACCAACTTTTCATTATCTGCTTTACAAGTGTCAGGACCTGCCTTCACACCAGCCCTCACCCAGGGGCAGCACAGAAAGCACCAGGCAAGCAGCACCCTCCTCCTCACAGCCCCTGGGGAGGAACAGAGCAATACCACTTACTGCATTTTAAATTGAACTCTGTGTGGGTCATGTACCCAACTAGAGGCAGGCAGGCTGGCAGTCCTTGCCAGGGAAGGTCCTGTCCTGGGCAGAGGGGTGCAGCCTTGCCCTTCACAGGGGGGCAGCCAAGAGGGGGCTGGCCAAAGAGCCCAGGCATGGAGGCCTGGGGGTGGCACAGCTGGAAGCCAGCCCCTCCTGGAGGTCTTCCCAGAGTTTGAGGGTCTGGAACCCCATTTCTGCAGAGGTGTCTCAGTTTTTAAGTGTTTCAGGATATTAGAATTCATTTCTTCTCAACTAGCAACTTCTGCCCAGTCTGAGGGTGGACAGTGGAGGAACCCTTCTGCAATGACAGCCTGGGCAGGGCAGTCTGTGTCCCACAGTCTCTGTCAACAAGGGGGGTGGAATCCTCAGAGCCTGTAGTACTGTGGGGGCACAATATATACCCTGTCAGCACCCACAGGAGTTTGTCCCCGAGCTGGTCTCTCACATGCACTCAGAAGGCTCCCTGTGGGCTAAACTGCAGAAACCCAGGGCTGGCAAAGCCTCTGGCTTTGGGAAGGCCAGGCCTAGGCCCTAGATCACATAAAGCTGGGCATCCTTTTTGTTTCACAGGTTGCAGGTAGGTCTGTCCAGAGCAGGGCCTATCACCTGTAACCCTCACACCCTGAACTGCTCTAGCTGAGCCACTGTCTCTTCCAGGGGCACTCATTTACAGGCCATGGTCAAACCTTCCCCTGGACACAGCACCCCCCTCTTGGATCTTCTGACAGACACCCTACCCAGCCCTTCCTGACTCTCGGTGAAACTCCAGACTGTAGTATAATACAGAGAGCAGAAACCATGGCTTGAGGGGCAGGAGATAGACTTGGCTGGAGGTGTCATCAGCTCTGGTTCCCAGGGCCACTGGCCTCACTGCTGCTGCTCTGGGAAGGCTCTGCAGGGCTCTCTAGGTGCTGCAGCTCCAGGAAGCTGGTGACGAGCTTGGCGACGGCTTCTACGTCACTGGCGAGGGGTACCAGGAGGAAGCAAAGCAGGTCACCCTGGCAAACAGCAGCCAGTAGGACCGCCAACCACCCATTGCAACAGCCCCGGGGCTCCCAAACCAGACCCTGCACAGCATCAAGACGGCAGCCCAGGCCAGATCATAATAGCCCCATGAGGCCTCACCTGCGGCGGCCCATGACTGCGCTCTGGGTAAGGGGGTGGGAGAAGCCTGTTGCAAACCGCAGCACCACCGAGTAGCCCCTTCCAAAGTAGCGGACCTTCTCCTCCTCCACATTCACATCTTGGATGTCGCTCAGTAGGACCACCACTGTGGGGACACAGTCAGTGCCCCAGTCAGCCCCCTACCTACTTGTGATACTTGGCAGTTGTGTTGGGGCCATTGGGGGTTCTGCTGAAACCAGTCATGTTTGCAGCAGGGGCAAAACCATTTACTCTTTCACATCCAAGGCTGGGCCTTGGGACCACCACAACCTTCACCACAGTGTGAGATCATCTAGGGGAGGACTTGCTCAGTGGACCCAGTGTGTGGCCTGGCAGATCACCACACACAGGTTTGCTGGTTCTGTGAGCTCTAATGTGCCAGGGACCTGCTAAGTGCTAGATGGCCCAAATGTGTTTCATTTTCCTCCCAAGGCAAAAAGATGCCTTCCTGGCCCAGGTTGGTGACCAGCCAGCTATTTCCTCTGGCCCCTCAGGGAAATCACCTCCTCAGGTACCAGGTGGCTGATGGACTGGCTGTGCAGGGGACCCCACAAGCAGCCCCAACAGGAAGCATGTGGTCCATGTACCAGACTTCCCTAGAAACTGTCCCAGCCTAATCTGTGCTGGCTGCACTCTGGTCCCCTGCAAGATGCCCCCACTCCCTAAAGCCCATCCTAGAGGCCTCTCTGCATCTACACACGGCTGCTGCACACCCACAGCCGACGGTGGTGGAGCAGATGCCCAGGTGGCAGTGTCTTTGGAAGTCTGCTGACCACAGCTGGACCTGGAGAGACTTGGGCAGGAGCTTCCTCTGACCATCAGCCTCTCACCACAGCCCCCAGAGAGCTAACAGGAACAGGCTTGAGGTCTGGGAGAACTGGGTGGCCCTGCTCCAGCCCCACACCCAACCCGTTCCCCCCAAGGACAGGAGCAGGGAGGTAGAACGCTATCCAAACAGGTGCCTCTGAGGCTGGGGGGCTAGACCATGTCCCTCCTATCCTCCCTGCAGGCCAAACCTCTGTAGAACCAGGGAATCTGCAGGACTCAAGAGTGTCCACCTAGACCCCACTGGGCAGGCCAGGTGCACTTGTGGGACCCTGCATCTGCCAGCAAGACACCACCTGGGTCACCCAGCAGATGACCTTGGACCCGTGGGATTTCCAGACCTCCTGTTGCCCCCAAGTGCCTGCTGTGCCTAGCCCACACCCTGACACTCCTCACACCTCACCTTGGTCATGGCCTGCTCTGAACAGAGTCAGCAGCTTCTTGTAGAGGCTGAACGTCTTCAGAATGACTTTCCCAGTGTTCTTGTTGAAGATGGCTTCCTGGGAACCGACACGCACTGATCTCATGCAAACCCAAGGGATGGGGCCTAGTGCTCACTAGAGTGTTACCCTAGCCCCACAAGGTACACACTGGAGAACCAACCTCCCAGATGGAGCCCAGCCCCTGGAGCCCCATGTGCTGCTCTGCCAGGACTGACACCTATAGAATGACCTGAGACTCCTGCCAGTGCGACAGGGGTTCACCCCACTGCAGCAAGATATAATACAGGACAGTGGCCCAGCCCCCCCAACAAGGAAGCAGAAGATGGAGGGTCTCATGGGAACACACAGTGGATGAAGGCAGCAGACACACCCCATCTGCACCCAGCAGCTCTGGGTATGAAAAATTTTGGTGAAAAATAGTCAAAACAAGGCGGAGGTAGGTAGATCCCTTGAGCTCTGGAGTTAAGAGACCAGCCTGATTAAAAGCAAGACTCTGTCTCTACTAAAAACAGAAAAACTAGCCAGTTGTGGTGGTAGGCACCTACAGTCCCCAGCTACCTGGGAGGCTGAGGCAAGAGGATTGCTTGAGCCCAAGAGTCTGAACTTGCTGTGAGCTAAGACACCACGGCACTCTACCCAGGGTGACAGAGTAAGGCTCTGTCTCAAAGAAAAAGAAAAGTTACGAGCTTTTAGGAGAAAAACATCTTCAGGTACCTTGGCTCAAGAATGGTCACAAGTAGTGTCCAGGGCCAAATTCAACTCAATAGAAACAAAGAAGCTAGGACCAAAATTTCAGAGTGGGTAGGAGGTGTTGGAATTTCATTCTGCTTTGCTCCCCAGTGCGGGGAAGCCCAGGAGCCCCGAGCCCCACACTGTGCCAGTCCCCTTCCCTACTTCTCCCTTTACCCTCGCCAGCCTTACCTCCCAGTCTTCCAAGTTCTGTACAGCCACAAACAGGCAGCCTGTGACGTAAAAAAGCTTCCAGCCCAGACTGTCTGGAGGCAAACATAGGGCACCGGCCCATGAGATGTGTCCAAGAGGGGGCCCTGCCCAGCACGGTCCTCTCCCAGATTTTGTAATGAGGACA